AATAACTATTGTATCATACTTATATTGTGGTTTTTGTTTTGTTTTCAGCAAGGCTATGTATTGATCTCCTAACTATATTTTGTCTCTGCTATTATCAGAAAGTTTCTGAAGTTTCCTCTATAGCACATTTTATTATAACATCCAGTAATAAAAAGATCATTTTTTTAGAAATCTAACATATGCTTTACTTTCTTTATTGGGCATTTGTGATCACCAGCTCTCTTTATTATTTTGGAATTTCAATTTTAAGCTATAACATGATGTCATCTTTGGAGCCAGAAGGCCTGAGCAATAATCCCAGCTGCAGTTAGGCAGCCCCCAATCAAATCATTCTCATTTTCCCCAGGAAATGATTATCAGATTCTTTATCCATAAAATGGGACTATTATTACCTTATTATAGTATTAAACAGATTAAATGGGATCTTGTGAAACAATATGAAATATAGATTAGCATCAGTTCTCCCTTTCCACGTGGTCATATTACTAAATGCCTGGGGTCCCCAGTGCAGAGAAATTTCAGAGGAATGATTGGTCAGCTTTATCTGCCACTTTGCCTGGCACAGCCAAGGGAGCAAGTTATGCAGTGCACCAAAGGCTGCCAAAATCCTTACAAACCATGCAAGGCCTTATGTTCCCTCAGTATTCCCCCTGCTCACACGTCAATACTTTATATTTTATACCTTAGCCAACTCTCCCCAGAGTTACAGTATGAATTTTGTCATTGTCTGGAACTACTTCAGAAATCTTGAACCCCTAAAGTCTGCTCTCTCTTTCTAATTTTTCATTCTTCCAGTTCTCTCTGCCCCTCACTCCTACTATACTCCTCTCTGACCTATGGAAACCTGAAGTCTTTTGTTTCTTCTATTTTCTCCTCGACTCTCAGTCCCCTTCCTGGCCCAGAAAAAAAGTTATAATAATTATTATTGGTAGAGCTCTTTTGATAGCCCTCAGCTCCCTCTCTGATTCCTTTGAAGCTATTTCAGTGTGTGCCTTCTCCCCACTGCTCTGTGTATACAAAATTCTTGCCCCCTCATGCTCAACAGATTATCTTTTTTCCTATTTCATCAAGAAAATTTCAGAATTTCAGAAATTATTTCCCTCACCTCTCAGCCCTCCCTGCACCATGCCCTCCTACCCCCGTGCCATCTCTACAATTTTCCCTCAAGGCTAAACGAATGAGGCATCTCACTTCTAGTCTTCAGTCTATCTTCTTTGACCCCTCTAGGAATTTAAACCATTACTTTTGTAACATTCTGTAACATTTATAACTTTTGTAACATTTTATCTGTCCTTAACCTGTCTCTCTTTGCTAGTATTTATTTGCTTTCTTTTCCCATGATCCCTCAATTACTTCATAGCCTCCCAACTTTTCTTCTCTCCTCTCATTCAAACTTGACAAAGAATATTCTACCTGTATTGGCTTTATTTATTTTCCTCTTATTTATCTTCAACCAACTGTAATATAGTTATCGCCAGAAATGGCTATCACCAAGGTTACCAGTGGCCTACTATTTCCAAAATCGAGTGGATATCTTCAGTCTCTTATTTCACTGGACACCTCTCTTATGTATGATACTCTTGCCCACTTCCTTGTCCCTAACTGTGTTCAGCCCTCAAGCGTTAGCGTTCCCCAAGGTACCTTCCTCAGTCAACTGCACTTCTGCTTCCCTTCACCTTCCCCATGAGGAGCTCATCCCTGTGTTTCTGCTTCCATGAAATGCCTAAGTTGTACCTCCAGCTCAAACCTATTCCCTAAACTTTAGACTTTAATAGCCAACTGATTCCTGGACATCTCCACTTACGTCCCTCAGGAGCCTAAAGATAATCGTGATCAAAACTGAATTCAGTCTCTCCCATGTATCTGCTCCCACCCAATATTCTGCATCTCCTTTGGTGACACCACTATATGCTGGGAAACTGGGAGACATGCATGACTCACTCCCTTACTCCTATATCCAGTCACCAACTCCTACCATTTTTATCTTCTAAATGTTTCCTGAATCAACTTCTCTTTATTCCTCATTACCTCTTTCATTACTAGCCCTAATAAGACTTCCTGTTTTTTTCTTTTTTCTACCGGGGTGGAGTATATATGCAAAACACCAATCTGCCAAAGTCGCTTACTATTAAAAATCTTTTAATCATGCTCCTTGACCCATGCAATAAAGTCCCATCTCCTTAAAAAAACTACAAGGCCTTCATAGATCCCCGTCTTCCTTGTTGGACTCATTTCCTGCTGCTCACTGTATCTCAAACTTAACTCTAGTTGAGCAAACTTCCTGTCATTCCAATTCACACATCAGGCTATTTCTCACTCTGCTTCTGACTAAGATGTACTTTTTTTCCTCTCCTCTCCTCTCTTCTTGTCACTCAACTCCTTCTCATCTCAGCTCCATGAATCTTTCTCTGGCTCCCCCTCAATACTAAGGCAGATAAGTCCCCCTACTTTATATTCTCATAATATCATGTATCACCTTTATGTGTATTTACTACAGAGCTAGACTGTGAGTTTCTTGAAGGAGAGACTGTACTATGCATTATGACTCTAGCATAATGCCCAGCACTTAAAGATGTTTAATAAGCACTTCCTTAATGAAGAGATAAATAAATTATAAAAGTGCCGTGTGTCCATTCTTGTCATTTTTTTCATTCAGTGTCACTGTGTGGCAGAGACAGTAGTGTTCACCAGACATTCCATGTATTCCTTCTACATTTCCCAGCCTTCCTTGCACTTAGGTTGGGGCCATATAAATAGTTTAGACAATAAGCTATACACGTAAATATACATGTCACTTCCAGCCCAGTGTCTTTAAGAGCAGTTGTGAATTTTCCATATTTTCTCTTCCCTTGCTCTGGCTCTTCTTGAAGTCTTGAGCTGGTAATATCACAAGATCGTGGGGCAGAAACCCATGTTGGACAAGCAGTAGGAGGAGGAAGTAAGCCTGTTGTGTTAAGCCACTGAGATTTCAGGATTAATTTGTTACCGGAGCATAATCTAGTCTACCTGAATAATGCTTTTTGTTACAAGCATAGACATTAATCTCGGTCCTATTATATGCATATCTGGTTTTATGGAGCCTTACCCAGTGTGCAGCTCTTTCTCTTCTCCCTACCTTTGCATAATGCCTAGGCTTACGGAAAACTGCACCATGTGACTGTTGCCAGCCAGCTTCTGCCTCGAAACCTCTGTGTATCAGAGTGTGCTTCCCACAGTACATTTATGTTTTCTGTCCCTGCCCAGCATAATGTACAGGCAGAGTAATTCACTGCCTGTTCCCTACAATCTAAGTGGTAATGGGAACATTTTCCTACATTAAAAAAAAAAAAAAATCTTCCATACTCCCTCATACTTGGCTCTGATTTCACAGCAGAATGTCATGTCTCCAACTTTAAATTTTGACTCTTTTTATAATGGAAACTTCTCCCAAGAATCATACTATGTTCTATTGCAATTGAAGGCTAAAGGGATCAGAGACTATCTCCACAGTAGATCTGGAAGTCTCTGAAACACTCCTAATATGTCAAGGATGTGTCTATAACCTCCACTGACCTGCAATTACTAATATTCCAATGCTGACTTTGATACAATTCCATTGTTTCCCACAGGTATTCTATGAAACGCACTGGCTTTCCTAATTAGGTCCCAAATTTTATTGAACTATACTTGTATTTTATTGTTTCACTAGATACTAATTCTTTCAGTTAGAAAAAAAAACGCAGAAAATCTGGCTTCAGGTGTGGCTTAGTCCCAGGACAATATGATGTCACCAGGATCTATCTTTTAGCTCAACTTTCTTTAGAAAGACTCCATCCTCAGACAGACTCTCACCTTTTCCTCCTGCCTGAAGTTCCCAGAGCTGCAGCTGGAAACCCTTCCAGTTCCAAATCCAGCAGGGCAGAAAAAAAAGTTGTTTCCCCAGAAGGCACAGCCAAAGATTCATGGCTTTGTATAGGTTCTGAGTGGGTCATGTTTCCATCCCTGAACCAATCCCTGTGGCCAGATGAATACAATGCACTGATTAGCTTCGCCCTTAGTCATCCCCATGAAGTGGTAAAAAAGGAGCGGGTGTCAAAGGAAGCAAGTGGCCAAAGATTGTGGAAGGGGATAATTTCTAGAGAGAAATTAGGCCACCACAAGGGAGCTTATGATGTTGGCAGCAATAGCAACCTCTCTTCTCTCTATACAGTCTGCCATCTGGGAGATAGAATTTAGAGATAGGTTCTAGTTAGGGAATGAAAGTATTTTATTATGCACTACAGGTTAAACCTTGATCATATTCTCCTCCCTCCTCTAACCTTCTCTAAGGTATTCTGTTCTCCCATATGCTGCCTTGTGTTTTAGTTATTTGTAAGCATTTCTATCCCCTAGATCTAGATCATCAGCTACTTCAAGGCAGGAACTACGGATTCTGTATTGTGCATTACACATAGAAGGCATCCTCACTATTCAACAAATAATTATTTGATGATAAAATGAAGGGATGAGAAGTCAATGGGTCTTATGCACACTGTTATCACATGATGGTACTGCAATGCCTGTGCACATGGGTGTTTGCGTGTAAGGAGCTAATACACACATAGTAGGAACCTACTATGTGCCCAAGTACAACAGTAAGCAACAGGGATGTGAGGATTACAAAAATAATTCCCCTGGCCTTCAAAAGCTTATACTCTAGTGAAGAAAGCAGACACTTACCAAATAGAGTGTCATTAATGCTACAAAGAATCATTGTGAGGTATTAAGGGAGAATGCATGTGAGTAATAGATCTTGATTTTTATTATTATTGTTTTAATTGACTCCAGATCAATTTCCGATTGGTTACCTCTGGGACTACCAGTTTTTCTGGAGGTCTGTTAAACTTGAAATTTCTTAGATGACTAATACTGAATTCCCAAATAAAAGCTTGAGATCTAAGAAATTACATCATATATTTGTGATAAGAAAAAACTAATTTGGTTTTCTTCTCCTCTCTCATTTCTCTCTACCTCTCTCTTAGCCTGAAGTTGTGGATCAAATACAAAACTTAAGGGAGTTATGGATGGATAATAATGCATTACAAGTGCTACCTGGGGTATGTAAGTTTTTATTATGCCATGTTGTTTAACATTTATGTCATACATTGGTTGTATCTTCATCTTAATTCTCAGTGTTTGCATTTCAAAGTAAAATAACACTTCTTAGGAGTGTTCAGTCACCAATAGTTTCAACTAATTCATTTTTGAGTATTTCATATATCTTTTGTGAGTGTTATAGGTATACAAAATGTGTGAAAGATTTTTCTTGTTCTCTTTGGAGTATATTTGTCATCTCTTCCACACTTACCGTTTTTTTAAAGCTGCAAAATTTATAACTATATCATTAAAAAGCAAAATGGTACATATAATACCAAGTTTTATTTTTACAAAATTAACCTGATTCTTATAGATAACTAGACAATGATTTCTGCTCATATTGTTAGAGCTCTTCCACAAAATAAAAATCTCTCTCAATTGAGACAATTTTCCAACAGAATCCATTTGAATTATTGAAAATGGCAAGAATCATACTTTATTAAAAACAGAAAGTTAAATCAGAGTCAGTTTTTTTCCTCAACTAAACAGCAGTCCAGTAATATCTCCTGAGTAGTAGGTTTACCAGTCAACTGATTGAGTGCAAGTATTCCTGCTTTTTTCCATCTAGAGAAAGAATGGCTTGCCATAAAACACTACCCCTTGCCATTTGCATGCATGTGCATGGACACACAGACACACACACACACACACACACACACACACACATAGGGCAAACACAGTCTCTAGGTTGTTTTGGATAACTCCGAACTCCTGGCATTAGACAAAGTAGCCAGAACAAATGGATATGCAATAAATCTTCAGCCAACATAGAGGTTTAGATGTGTGTTTCAAAGCCAATTTTATTTCTCTTCTGAATTGACATTAAAAACTACTTAAAATGATTGCAAAAGCAACAAGAAGCTTATTCTCTCTTTGAACAAGCAGGAAACCACATAAAGGAGAAAATTTGAAAAAAGATTAGGGAAAAAATACTTTCTTCTCTTATCAAAAGGATACACTTCTACTATCATCATAGACACAAAACAGAAAAGAATATACATCTTCTATTTATTGATTTATTCAAAAATCATTTACCAATATACCTCTATGAATCAGAAACTATGCTAATGTCAGGTTTACAAAGATAATATATTCAATGACCTTGATATATTTGTTTGAGGAGCTCACACGTAGCAGGAAAGACAGATCTGGATTCTACTACACACAGTAGAGTCTGATTTGTGCCATATCGAGGTATGTACAAATCCTAGGGCAACACATCCATTCCCTGTGGAGAGATTAAGGAATCAGAATGTATGTCTAGTTGGAAGTTTATACCTGCTTCTTCAATATATTTATTTATTAAAAACACTTACATGCATTTACCATGATCTGGGCACTCTCTAGATGTTTTACAAATATTGATTCATTGAATCCCCATAACAACTCTATGAAATAAGTTCTATTACCATCCCCATTTTATAGATGATAAAACTGAAATACAGAAGAAGTAACTTGGCCCAAGGTCATGCAGCCAGTAAATAAATGGTGAAGCTATAATTCAAACCAGCCACAGAGGCTACTGTTCATTGTGATGCCCCAAGATGCTCTCTATAGAACCAACAGAAGGTACAAATGAGAATTAGGTTCATCTTGCTTTTCATAAGGGTTATGTTCCCAAAATCTAACTGTGCAGATCAACTTACATGCCAAACTCTTTAATAAGCTTATTATTTAAATTGAAAGGTAGTGATGAAATCTTTTGTAAAACATATAACGCTGCCTAATTTATCTGTTTTGAAAGTAGATTTTTCACGTGGACTGCTACAGATTCCTTACTTTATTTAGTACACTTGAATTTGGCATTTTGCTATCCCCTATGTGAGAATACCCCACACCTCCCTGCCAAAAATAAGCATGGCTGTCTAATAGTTGTTTTTCAATTACTCAAGAACAGTCAACTTTGAAAGGCTCATCTCGAGTGCAGTCTGCAGCACATGTCTGTCAGTTCCACAGAATGATTAATCCTACACACTTAATGTCATAAGCCACAGGAAAAAAAACAAGTTCACTTTTTTCTTAGTTCATGTATCATAATAAAGTTAATGTACCTTTTAAATACTTTTGGAAGCCTGGGCTATTATTTTCCACTCTGTTTTTCATAAATTGGAGAAGCAAATAAGTAATGATAAAATATTTAGCTTTCTGCATAGCTCTATCCTGTGACCATCAATCAAGGTTAATCAACCAAAATATGACTAAACTGCATTGAATACGTGTTTATTTTTAAACCAATTCCAGCATCTTCTTTTTTTTTTTTTTTTAATTTCAGCATATTATGGGAGTACAGATGTTTAGGTTACATATGTTGCCCTTGCCCCTCCCCAAGTCCGAGTTTCAAATATGTCCATCCTTCAGGTGGTGCGTGTTGCACTCTTTGTGTATGCAAATACCCATCCCCTCCTCCCTCCTCCCCCTCCCCCTTCCCCTCTCCCCACTGCCCAACATCCAATAGATGTTATTCTTAATTCGATCCAGCAATCCCATTACTGGGCACCTACCCAAAAGACCAAATGGTACTGTATAAGAAAGACACCTGCACCCGAATGTTTATAGCAGCACAATTCACAATTGCAAAGATGTGGAAACAATCCAAGTGTCCATCAATACATGAGTGGATTAATAAAATGTGGTATATGTATACCATGGAGTACTATTCAGCTTTAAGAAACAATGGTGATACAGCACCTCTTGTATACTCCTGGATAGAGCTGGAACGCATTCTACTAAGTGAGGTATCCCAAGAATGGAAAGACAAGCACCACATGTACTCACCAGCATCTTCTTTTACTTGTGGTTTCCACTCTTTTCATTCGCTGTTCGCTCCTCACCTACAGACCCCTGTACACCCAGAGGGATGTCAGAGCAACATTTGCTATCCTCGAAGATTCTGCAACATTATGTCTCTAAGGCCCTTTACCACCCCAGGCTATTTTTGCTAAGGTGTTTGGAATTGAAGTTTGAGAAAGATTCAAAAATAAACACCAAAATGTTATTTTGCTTCCAAAAAGAATGTTTAGTAACTGCACACCAAAATACTGAGTTATGCTGGAGATAGCAATGAAGGAAGCTTCAAGGCCAAAAAAAGTTTTCTCATGATAAAGGAATAAAAAAAGAAACACACACACATAAACACATATATCACCTTTTATTGCTCACTGGAAGAGTGAGCTTAGGCAACATAATAGTTCCTTGGGGTGGAAAGCTATAAGTAAAGTGATGGTATTTTTCCAAGTGACACATTTCTAAGAATGGTGAGAAACTCAGCCCTCACTCACCCAAGGTACTCTGATTCCAGTACTCTGATGAAGCTGAGCAAACATTCAGCCACTCTGAGACTGTGCTCACACTCTGCACCCATATAGAGAGCTAAGGGAGCAGAGCCAGAGATGTGCACTGGGTTAATTAGGGACATGGAGGTCAGGAACTGCCCGTATAATAATTAAGTGAGCTTTGTAGTCTGCAGTCTTATAAAAGTGAGTTTGAATTTCAGCTCCTCCCCATACCAATGTGGTAACCTTGGACTGTTACTTGTAGTAGATGCTCTCACACATTTTCCTCTAGGAATGAAGAACTTACTCTATTCCTCCAGCTTCACCCTCTTCAGCATTGCCTCATCTGAGGAGAACCTCCTCACTTAGTGTCACTCTCCCATTCCAAGAGATCCAATGATCCACCAATGCAGGGATACATAAAGGCCCAGAGTTTTGGCCTCTACTCAGAACAACTGCAGAGCAAGTCCAATTTCAGTGCTCTTTGAAGGGTCAGCTGAGGACTTTCTCAAGATTTCATCACAGCACGACTTCTTTGCCTCTTCCTTCCCTACTTCTTTCTGTCCACTGCTGCTGATCTGAAAAGCATTCTCTCATAAACTCCTATCTTTGCCTCTCCTTCCCAGGGAACCCAAGGAGTGACATTACTTAACCTCTAAGCTTTAACATGTGTTAAAATGCAGATTCTGATTCAGTAGGTCTGGGGTGAGTCTGAGATTCTATATTTCTGACAAGCTCCTAGGTGGTGTCAGTGCTGCTAGTCTGTGAACATATACTGAGTAGCAAGAATATGAAGTATTAAATCAAATAACATATTAGCCAGGAGTGGTGGCACACGCCTGTAGTCCCAGCTACTCAGGAGGCTGAGGGAGGAGGATCGCTTGAGCCCAGGAGTTCAAGGCTGCAGTGAGCCATGATGACATCACTGCACTCTAGCCTGGATGACAGAGCAAGACCCTGTCTCAAGAAAAGAAAAAATAAATAAATAAAATAATATATATAAAGTACTTAGCACAGTGCCAAGTGTGTGCTTTTGTGTGTGTAATAAATGTGTTTATTACATATTTGTTTATTTATACTCTGTCAAATAAGAAGAGACAATATAGTAAAATGGTAAAATGTACACATGTAGACCAGATAAATGGATGAACCATTGAGCAAACAAAACGTGTGGAACGTTTATGTACAAAACATGCCCTAAAGAAAAGGAAAATGAAAACTTCCATCCTGCCCTAACTCCTGTAGTCTGTGTTCCACCCATGTGATCACTGTTCCCTCCTTGCCCAAGGTTTGGGTTGACTCCTCCTCTGTCCTCAGCAATCAGTTACTAATCCAATCATTCCACTTCTGAATTTCTCTTGAGTCTATCCCCTCTTCATCTTCACTTCTGCTGCCTTAACTACTAAACAATTAAAATACTTCTAACTGGATCTCCCTGACTCCAGCCTTTGAAAGTCATTTCTTCTAAGCACAAATCTGAGCATGTCATTCTCCATCTTACAAGCCTGGTAGCTTTCCTTGCCTATAAGAGTTCATTATCTCCTCACATCTAAGGCCTTTTAACAGCTGGCTTCTTCCTATAATCCCAACTTCGCCACTATATTCAGCCACTTGGAATTTCTCACTCTTCCTCAAACGCACCATGCTTTTTCACACTTCTCTGTGAATGCATGTGCTGTTCTTTCTCGCAGGTACATGTTCTCCTTTCTTAAAAATCACTGTCTTCCAGACAATTTACACACCTTTCCTTTTCTTCTGTGGCATTCCCTACATACATTTTTTTTTTTTTTTTTGAGACAGAGTCTCACTCTGTTGCCCTGGCTAGAATGAGTGCCATGGCATCAGCCTAGCTCACAGCAACCTCAAACTCCTGGGCTCAAGCGATCCTCCTGCCTCAGCCTCCCGAGTAGCTGGGACTACAGGCATGCGCCATCATGCCCAGATAATTTTTTCTGTATATTTTTAGTTGTCCAATTAATTTCTTTCTATTTTTAGTAGAGACGGGGTCTCGCTCTTGCTCAGGCTGGTCTCGAACTCCTGACCTCAAGCGATCCTCCTGACTCGGCCTCCCAGAGTGCTAGGATTACAGGCGTGAGCCACCACGCCCGGCCCCCTACATACTTTTTTATTGCACATATCACAGGGTACTATAATTATTTGTTCAACTGAAAGTTTCCTTCACTACTACTATGAACTCCTTAAGGACAAGAACTGTCGTCATCATGGCAAGTCTCTCCCCATACCTAGCTGTCTTATTCATGATTGTCCGTCAATCTGTAGCGTAGGTACTGGTTTATAGTACAACTTCAAAAAGGACTATTGCCTGAACAAAACATTGAATCTGAGTAGTAGGATAAAGTCCAAATCACAATTTAAACCTTTCTTATCCATTTGAAATTTTAAGGATCAACATGTCAACATCAATTGTTTCGGTGCCATCTTCAAGATTATTGTTGTGTTTTCCGATTGCTGCATTGAGATATAATTCCCATACCGTATACAATTCAGTGTTTTTTTAGAGTACTCAAATAGTTGTGCGGCCATCCCCACTATCTAATTTTAGAACACTTTCATCAGTGCTGAAAGAATCTGTGAGCCCGTTAGCAGTCACTCCCACGCCCCCTCCACCTAGTTCCTAGCAGCCCTGCTCTACTTTCTGTCTCTTGGATTTGCATATCCTGGACATTTCGTATAAATGCAATCATACAATATGTGGTCTTTTGTGACTGGTATTTTTCACTTTGCATATGTTTTTAAAGCTTGTCCACTTTATATCATGTGTCAATATTTTATTCCTTTTTATTGCCAAATAATACTCCATTATATGTATATACCACATTTTGTTTATCCATTCATCAATTGATGGAAATTTGGGGTGTTAGCACTTTTCGGCTATTGTGAATAATGCAACTGTGGCCTTTTGTGTAAGTTTTTGTGTATACGTTATGTTTTTATTCTCAGGTATATACCTAGGGATTGTTGGGTCATATGGAAACTCTATGTTTAACATTTTGAGAAACTGCCAAATCTGTTTACAAAGCAGCTGCATCATTTTACATTTCTACTAGCCATGTTTGAAGATTTGACAATATCTCCATGTTCTTGCCAACATTTGTTATTGTTGTGGTTTCTTTTAAAATGAATTTTACGGTGTTGTGGTTTTTACAACTTTAAAATATCCCATGAAAGTTTCTCAACTAACCCTGAGTTTATGCAATGTCATCAAGTCTATAGGGAAGTTAAAGATGTTGGTATACCTGGATATGTCAAAAAACAGAATAGAAACGGTCGACATGGATATTTCTGGATGTGAAGCCCTCGAGGACCTCTTGCTATCATCCAATATGTTGCAACAGTTACCTGACTCAATCGGTGAGAATATAATATTTTGTTGTGTATATTTGTGTCAAATATACCATTTTCTTTTTTGTCAGTATAGTTTGTCTACAGATATAGGTAATATACTGTTACTCTAATATTAATAAATTAGCAAATTCACTATGCAAATCATAAAATAGTATTTTACAAATATCCTAAAATGAAATATTAACTTTAGCTATCAAATTCAAGAAGGCTCTGCTATTAAGATGATCCTACTAAATTGATATATTTTAAAAATCACTAGATCTTTTATGTTGTGAAAGTCATTATAAGGAGTATATATCTTAGATTTATAGTTATTTGGTAACTATGTACATCTCCTTATATCATGATAGAATTATAGTAGTTCTATCCACAAGATGTTGCTATGTTCTATTTTTAATATTGTTGTAACATTGCTATATTAATACTATAGAAATAACATATGAAAATATATAAATATAAAATGTTTTCTTAGTTCTATTATTTTTAAAAAGACACGTTGTCTTTATCATATTGTTAAGATTCATGAGGACAGATAATTTATCTGTTAGTATATAGTAAGCCCTCAATCTATTTTTGTTTATAAATTTTTATATAAATAAGGAATATAGATTTTAACCTCTTTGAAACAAGTGTGTTACATGTTCTGGAACTTAATGCTTCTAAAAATTGTTACAACCCAGGTAGCCCAGTTGAAGACAAGATAGTCTCTCAAATTTTTCTTCACTATTTTATTATTTCCATTTTGCCATTGTTTAGGATGATAAAGAGCATTAGTTTTAGCAAAATCAAAGTCTACCTTTCCTTTCTTTCTAGATTTTCTGACTTTTTGATTTATACAATCACATGTTTTATAATGGTATTTTTGCAACTTGGTCAATCATGGATCCTAACTGAGAGCTTTATCAAACACTTCCACATTTCCAGGCTTTGTCTTTGAAAATTCTGATTCAGAAAGTGTGGCAAGCACTCTGATCTGTATTTTTATTACACATCCTAGATGAAACTTGTAATCAGACAAGTTTAGGAAATACTGGTTTATGTTGTAACAGATAAGGAAGTACAATAGTTAAAAAGAACATTCGCTGGTCAAGATCACTGATCAAGAGTGACGTAATACATAACCTCACTCCCCTGCTCAAGAACCATTCCATACCGTTTCAAATACATGATCAGGATAGAAAAACCACATATATTCAAAGAACGTATTTTTCTTCGTTGCTGCCTCCTCAGTGCCAAGACCTGTGCCTGGCATATGGTAGGTGCTTCTTGAATATTTAATAAATAAAAGAATTTTAGCCATGCTTAAGAAGAATGAGCATCTACCTGAAGCTGAGACAGAATTGAAGTATAGCAATAATCCCAGGCCTGTTGGGCTCTGGACCGCAAACAGCAGCCACAAGAAGTTCCTGTAGTGAAATAAAAAATAGAAGTGCCTTAAGCATAACAGGGGAATCAGAGCTTATGAAAGATTAAGGCAGGGATCCCTTTTCTGTGAGAGAGACTGAAAAAACTTACAACTGGTATGTGGAGCTATAGAGAAAGGAGAGAACAGAAAGGTTGAAACTGCTGAAAATTATGGCAAGTCACAAGCTGGCTTGGACTGGATCTGCAATACCCACATAGGATGAGAATACCATGTTGCTAACATAAGACCTGGTTCTGAACTCTAGAAACCTGGGGATCAGGTAGAGATAACCAGAAGACATCCAGACAGGGAGCGGGGAGCATAGTGAAGGAGAAAACACTCACTCTCACAAATGAGCTTGCAAACAAATATTTCAAAGGAAAACAAATGTTATGACAATCAATAATTCAACCAAATGGGAGAATTTACCCTAAGGGAAACAGAAGTTATCAAGCAATGTAAAAATGATTTTATTAATAAATATGTATAGATCCTCAAATAGTCCAAAGGAAAAATGACATTCATAAAAATAATAAGACCTTATAAAACAAGAGCCATGTCTAAGAATAGATGGTTATGAAAAAGGACCAATTAAAAATCTTGGAAATTAAAATAGAGATGTTGGTCAAAGGGTACAATGTTACAGTTAGACAGGAGGAATAAATGATAAGTATTTAAGGTAATAGATATGTTAATTAGCTTGATTCAATCATTCTGCACTGTATACATAGATCATTGTATCATTGTGTATCCCATAAATATACATGATTAAAAAGTGTCAAAAATTTTTTAAAAAATTAAAAAAAATAAATCCTGGAATTGAAAATACTACATAGGGAAATAAAAAATGCAACAGCTATGATAAAGAGAGGACGATATAGCCAGGTTCAGAATTAGTAAATTGGCAGATAATACTGAGGAACAGAACAGGCACATAGAGACTTTTTTCAATGGAAAATATTAAAGATCAGTAAAGAGACATGGAGAATAGAATGGAAATTGTACTCTAAAAATAAAAAAGTTTAAAAAAATTGTATTCTCCAGAAATACAGAAAAGAATGAATGTCAGAGAAACTATTGAAAGAAAAAATATTTGAGAGTATTTTTTTTCAGCACTAAAGATACTAGTAATTTCTCATAGTAAATGCACACAGATAATGCTAAAAGGGATAAATATAATAAATTCATTGTGGCTTATTGTGAAACTGCAAGGATAAAAGAAAAAGAAATCTTAAAAACTTCCATAGGACAAAAAGAGCTCATATACAAAATATAATTAGATAGGTCATAATTCTCATCAGTGAAAATAGCTTCTAGACAGTGGATTAATATCTTCAAATACTGAAGAATAATAACAGGCAGACTGGATTTCTATACCCAGCTAAACAGTCAATCATGAGTGAGGACCCTTAATAAAAGAACTGATTTGGTAAATTAAGTTGTTATATCTAAATAACTAGTGACTATAAAAGAAGAATCTTTTATATTTAAAATATGGAAATAGGCCGGGCACAGTGGCTCACGCCTGTAATCCTAGCACTCTGGGAAGCCCAGGCAGGCGGATCGTTTGAGCTCAGGAGTTTGAGACCAGCATGAGCAAGAGCGAGACCCTGTCTCTACTAAAAATAGAAAGAAATTGGCTGGACAACTAAAAATATATAGAAAAAATTCACAGGCATGGTGGCGCATGCCTGTAGTCCCAGCTACTTGGGAGGCTGAGGCAAAAGGATCGCTCAAGCCCAGGAGTTTGAAGTTGCTGTGAGCTAGGCTGAAGCTATGGCACTCTAGCCCAGGCAGCAGAGTGAAACTCTGTCTCAAAAAAAAATAATAAAAATAAAATAAAATAAAATATGGAAATAAAAAACATGGAAGAGCATTGTTAGAAAGGGTTAAGGAGTGCTAAGGATATTATCTTGTTCAGGAAGAGGCTAGACATACTGAATAACTTTAGAGTTCATAGAAAATATTGGCTTAAATATTTGCTACATATTAAAAATTTAAATGTATTAATATCTACTTAATAGAAATAGGATTTATAATTTCCAAACCAGCAGAGGAGGAAGAGAGATATGAAAGAAAATATTTATATAGCAGAAGAAAGAAAAATAAAATTTTAAAAATCATATAAATAGAAAACATAAAATAAGATGGTAAAAATAAATTTGAATCATTTGTCATAAATCACAACAAATATAATGGATTTAATAGATTAAACTTATTTTATTAAAAGATCCAGAGTTTCAAGTTTATATTCTAGTTATGAGACACATTTAAAACAAAACATAGGACCAGGTGCGGTGGCTCACACCTGTAATCCTAGCACTCTGGGAGGCCAAGACGGGTGGATCGTTTGAGCTCAGGAGTTCGAGACCAGCCTGAGCAAGAGCAAGACCCCATCTCTACTAAAAATACAAAGAAATTATCTGGACAACTAAAAATATATAGAAAAAATTAGCCGGGCATGATGGCGTGTGCCTGTAGTCCCAGCTACTTGGGAGGCTGAGACAGAAGGATTGCTTGAGCCCAGGAGTTTGAGGTTGCTGTGAGCTAGACTGACACCATAGCACTCTAGCCCGGGTAACAGAGCGAGGCTCTGTGTCAAAAAAAAAAAAAAAAAAACACACACACACAGAAAATGTGATTTTTAAAAGGTGGTAGAAAATAATTATTTGTTTAAAATATCTTCCTTTAAGAAAGCAAGCTAGGAAATTAGCCTCCTGGTCTGAGGAAAGCAGCATGTCTAGGTAACAGAATATCATGCTAGATACTGGGCTGGCATAAAACAGATTTGGACAGGCAAGTGGTATTATATATTTTACAACTTCATTTAGGATCTGAATGGTTCTCACATGAAGACAGTAACTGTTACAGTAGCTTACTCTTCAAACTATCTTTGGGCCTTATTGACCTTTCAGGGGAAATTGTATTTATACATCTGCAGAGTTGCCACAGTCCCTGATTATAGATGTAGAATGACTGACTTTCCTCCGAGAATGCCCTTCTTGGTCAAGAGAAGTGTCTGGGTTAGGCGACTAAGGGCTGTGTTCCGAGGCCCTAGAATAATTCATTGATACTAAGTGGATGGCAAATTGCATCATGTCTTCCTTATTATCTATTCGACCACCAACACTTAAAAGAATAAAAGATAAGAATCAGCAACTAAAATAAAATCTTTACTTCCATCACGTCTATTTGAGTTCCTCTGCAGCTGTGGGGTATTTGAATGGAGTGGTACGCTCAACAACAAATCCTATGTGCTGAATCACTTTCCTTGTGCCGGTTCCAGTGAAATTGAAGGGGACTCTTTTCCTCTTCTAGATAGAGAGTTTTAATAATCACCTTCTTTGGATAGCAAAGAAACTCAATAAAGGAAAATATAATTTTTTACTTTCCAAAATAATTTATCTTATTCACTTACTGGTTAAGGGTACAGATTTTGTAGTTAGATTACCTGAGTTCAGATTCTGACTTTTCTACCTTACTAGCTGTGTGACCTTAGACAAGTTACTTAATCTCTTTGTGCCTCAGTTTCATCATCTATAAAGTGAGAGTAGTAATAGTACTTGCATCATGAGATTATGTTGAGGAACAAATGAATTAATATACATGAAATTGCTTAGAATCCTACCTGACACAGAGTAAGCAACTATTATAATAATAAAATAATTATTATAATCTTAGATTTGATGAGGACACATCTATTTGCTTTCAAAGTTCTATTACATATATTTAAATGCCATGTGAATATTAGCTATTTCAATAACAAATTGTATTAATGTTTAATACATTGATGCTAATTATATATTTATATGTATAGCTAAAACTGTAGTAAAAAGCCTCCTTTTTCTTTTTCTCCAGTACTTCTTAGTTGAGAGTACAGGATAAAGAGGTGGAGAATTGGAGAAGCGCACAGAAGAGAGAAAGAATAGGATGAGATACCTTTGATTTCTGTAGAGTAGAAGGGAGTCCAAGCAGATATGGTACCGAAATGCAATAAAGCAATTATCTGCCAGAGGAAGACATGAGAAATGAGGATTAGGCTGGTGTCCTAATTCCACATCGGGAACAGTGATATTCTATAGAAGCTCCAGAATCTGCTCAGAGTTTCCCCTTGGATAAAATCTGAGCAGCAAAGTCACAAGTGAATGAGGTTCCTTTAAACACACAGACATGTTGCTGAGCAGGGAGGCCTAACCTTCAAGGCCGTCAAAAAGAGCCACTTGACAGAGCTTCTTCTCAGAGCCACTACTCCGATCTTCAGGAAAACCTGTTGCATCAACATTCGGCCTTAGTCCCCAACTTGCCTCAAGGTTTTCACCGCATCACTTCAGAGCTGGGGACCGATTCCCTGAGAGAGTGCTTTGCACACTGGCTCCAAGGTGTGTGCTCAGCCATCTGTAAACCGGCCCCAAACACATTGTTACCCAGTCTAGTGGTGTTGAAGCTGTCAACCCTCCTCCAGCACCACCGGTGGGCAGCGCCACTAGTCTGATCAGGCTACCAAGTCAAAAAATTTAGCTGCAATTCACAGGACCCTGTTTTCTTGCCATATCTGAAAAACAAGCTCAAGTGTTCTTTTATATTCCAAGGGTTGGTATTTAAACATACACACTAGAGAGACTAAGATGATTCAATCACCTTTTGAATACAGATGAATACAGCAGTGGGTGTTCCAACTTCGGATATAACTTGACCCAATGTGAATTGTCCTCTTTCCCAGGTGCTGTTGTTTTCAAGCTAACGTATTAAGCTCCCAGTGTTGTAGGTATTTTCTCATAGCAGCCTGATAGTGGTAACATTTCTCTCCACTGGAGTAGAATCTTGAATGCTTCTGAAGAATACATAACTGAGCATACTGAAATTTAAAGTACAGCAACAGCCTTATTTCAGACTTTTTGTGACTTACCCTGTGCCTTTAAGGAACCCTCAAAATACATGAGAAGGGATGGGCCTGATCTATAGCAGTGCTTCCCAAAGCATGCTCACAAAACACTAGCTTTGCGGCATAGTGTACATACACACACATGTGCACACAAATTCCATAATAACTTAGAGAGTCACATTGTTACTTTAGTATATTAAAAGCTTCTAGAAACACTTTATTAAAGACCTGATCAGAGGAGCACATCTGGATCAGAAGATGTCAGGCTCAGAGGAGCTTCCTAAAGGCAAGCACCAGATGCATTCACGCAGAAAAAGAACCATGTTCACTGAGAAGCAACTGGAAGCTTTGAACATCTTGTTCAATAAGAATCCATACCCAAACCCCAGCTTTCAGAAAGAGATGGCCTCAAAAATTGACATACATCTGACAGTACTGCAGGTTTGGTTTGAGAACCACGGAGCGAAACTCAAGAAAGCAACATGCAAGAATGTTCCGCCAAAACAAGAAGCTCAACAGCAACAGATACCAGAGAGTGGAATCAAGACCAGTCCCTGCCACAGAAATATGGACACACAACCCAGATCCCCTAACAACATCTATCCTGTAGCCCCCATTTATGCAGACCACCAAGCACCCTCATACCAACTCAGCTCATACTCCAATGTTAAGGTCCCTGCAGATGTCTTTCTTGGCCACAGAATAGTCCATTTTGGCTGCTGCCAAGATTCTAACATTTACTGTCTCTATCCCATTTTGGAATCCCAGGTTGGTTCTCCATGCTTCAGTTCTAATGCTTTCGGCTATTCACTTATACAAAGTAGGGAGAGACACTAGACGTGAAAGGGCCCATATAATGATTCTCATTCAAGAGAATACTAGAGGTAGACAGACACAACAATATGGATTGATTTCAGAAACATTATGTGGCACAAAAGAAAGACACAAAGGCTACGTACTGTATTAATTCCATTTATATGAATTCCTAAAGCAGGAAAAACTCATCTTTCGTGGCAAAAAGATTAGTGGCTTCCCATGTGGAAAGAATTAAATAGAGGCACAAAACAAATTTACTGGGGTGATGGAAATGTTTCATGTCTTAATTAGGGTGGGAGTTACCTTGGGGAACAAATTCATCAAAACATTGAGAACTGTACATCTAAAAGCTGTGCATTTTATTTTACCTAAATTTAAGTTCAATAAAAAATATATAATGAGAAAAAACTGTATTAAAGGAAGCTGTTTAATTTTGTTTAGCTTGGCATTTCTCGAAACATATTTGAACATGAAGCACACTATATCCATCAGAACAAATTTTTTGCATAACACAGTAAGCTATAGACTGCATGTGTAGTTCCAATGTAAAACAAAAATTTTGAAAATGTTAATGCTTTGCCCTTGGATTTTGGCTATTTAGGTCATGGAAATACTGTAAGTTATTTTATGGCTGGGTAAGGAAGTTGATTATGTCAAAGCAGCTGTTCTTCAATTACTCTGTGGCTATTGCTCATTAAAACCCTGGGAGGAGAGCAAGCCATAAAGGTACTGAGAGCATAAATCAGATAGAGCAAGATGAATAGTTGTAAGTTCAATTCTTGGCCAGTTCTACTTGGTGTATTAACAATTTCAAGTTTTCATGCTTACTGCTGATCCAAGCCAAGGATTTATGGTACTACTAAAAAGAGTATGAGGTCATATGCTGTAGTTTTCCAATATCATAATTATAACCACTGCATTGCAATACCTCAGTATTCACTCGTTGATTATTAGGCTTAATTTGGATTTGTTTTCAATTTGTATCCCAACAGGAATGTCAGTTATTAGTACTTAGGAGTTAATTAAATACAAATCACAGCTGGCTTGAAAAACTTCAACTGGTCCATTTGCTAAAGAATAGAAAAGGGAAATGTAGCAGTATTAGTGTCAACTCAGGTGTCTGTGGAGCCCTGTGTTTTGTTGACTTTTCTGCATTGATGTTCTTGAACTCCATTGATGGAAGCAATTTTTTTGCAACCAGAAGGTCAAAACTAACTGCACATAAATATCTGTTTATGGGTTTATATAGGCAGAGTGTAGCCAATTAACATGTAGAGCATTCATCACAAATGATTCATTTGATTTCCTTTACATCACATTTCCTGTCATAAATATGCTTTTATGTATTAGTCATCCTTCTTCTCTGTTTTTAGGACTGTTGAAAAAACTAACTACTCTAAAAGTAGATGACAATCAACTTACACTGCTACCCAATACAATCGGAAAGTAAGTACCAACATTTTATACCAGTCAGCCTCTCTAAAGCCAGAAATGAAAGGATGCATTGAGTTTTCTACTTGAAAACATTTTCTCCTAAAGATACCAATAATTTTGTTTATCTGTCAACTTATTTTGACTATATTTTATTTATATTTATTTATACATATTTAACTTTATATCTAAACATTGCATTGACATTCAACTAAATATCATGAGAAATATTTAACCACAAATCTCTCACAAGCAAAATGATTAACCAGATCTTCAATTATACTCTTACTGATATTTTTCAGATATTATTAATTTGATGTTTTTGACTGAGTAGCAGCTCTAAATTCACTTGAATATTTCTGTAAAATCAAACCAATTTTTATAAAGCCCTGCATATGTACATCTACCATACTATTAGTAATACTTGATATTTATAGAAGCTTAATGTATTTATAGGAGCTTAATGTATTTATAGAAGCTAAAGAGAAAAGCGTCTGCTTTAGCTAACATTTTTTAAAACTTCAAGATAAAAGTCCAACATTGCCTTTTAAGATGAAATATACTCCATTTATTTGATAGCAATTTATTTCTAATTTTGTACTGCCATTTGCCATTTGGTTCACAGTTCTTTAAGAATATGTATTATCAATGTTTCCCTAAAACACTTTTCTTTACAATCTGTGTAAAGTGAGAAATCAATATAAGCTATCTTCATTCTAAATTTAGGTAAGGCCATTTTTTTCAAAATCTTATTCCATATCTCAGTGTGAAAAATTATATAAATTCTTAATTTAGCAAATTTGGGTATACTCAGGAGGGAAAAGCTTCATTATTTTTTTCTAAACAGTTTTGTTAGCTATAACTGACATACAACAAACTGCACGTATTTAAAGTCTACTGCTTGGTAAGTTTTGGCATAGGTAAAAAACCTTGAAGCCATCACCACTGCAATCAAGATGGTGAACATGTCCCTCGCCTCTCCCCGATCCCTCAACCCGCTTCTCCCCCATCTCCCACCAAGTCAGCGAGTAACCACTGTTCTGCAAAGCTCCACTTTTACAGAGTGGAACAATTCAACAAAATTCAAATTCGAATGTCCAGAATGTAGAAAGTCATAGAAGTCTCAACCATTTTTTATAATTTAATACCCACACCACATAGTATGTTTCTCTCTGTAGTTACTTCCATTTTTTTCCAGTATAGAATAGAGAGAACTTTACTTTCTTTTGAGATACACAAAAGTAATTGCCTTTGTCAGTCTGATGCTTTCTAAAAACTCTTCCTATCTAATTATATTCTCAGGCACTAATCTTTCCTCTTTGGATCAATACTCAGGGGAAATTGAATTCAACTTCATCTCTGCTAAAGTCATGATTGGTATTTTGCCACTCATGTTGACATTTCTTATAAAACTAATTACTCTAGCTCTTTGAAGATAAATTAAAAGGTTTGATAACCTAAATATGGACATAGAAAAGTTACTTTTTCAGTAGGAAGTGGATCCCTGACTTTGGTTGTGCTGAGAACCAGATTTTGTCAATAGACTGGTGGTTTTCAGCAAGAATGTTGGCCTCTTGATGACCTTCCAGCTTTCTCTGGAATCCAGTTTTAGCCCATGCCCAACATTGGAGATATGTGTGCTTTGAGCTCCTGTCTCACACCAGAGTAAGTTCTTTCCTTTGTCCTTAGCCAGCAGCACCTCATGCCAGACTTTGCCTCAGGAACAGGCAGCCTCCAGCTCAGTCTCTGTCTCCTTCCCAGCAGCCAAGCGGGGCGTTCTGGTCTGACTCTGTGCACACACTATAATGTCAAGTCAATCTTGGTTCTTATGTTACCATAAGCATTTACTCATTTCCCTAGAAATCTTCCTGATAGTTGAATTATAAAAGTGGAGAAAGCTGAACTGTTCAAATAGTGACCTGATATAAGCTTTTTCAGTACTATGTTCAAAAGCAACAGATTTAGAGACATCAGTTGGCTGTCAACAGCATTCAGTTGCTCAGACAAAAGACTTATTCCAGAAAAGCAGGGTGAGTGACCAGGAATTAAAGCATCTGTGAACCCTGAGAAGACAGAGTAGTGAGCCTTCTGTTGAAAGCTGCTCATTCTTATTAAATTCTCAGATGCCGCAAAGCCGGAAGAAATGTTTATATCGGGTGACAGAGCTGGACAGTGTGGGGGCTTCATCGAAAGACCCAATAGAACTTAATGGAGATTCATGTGGGAGTGGGAGGAAATCACCACTTTGACCATAATCAAGATCAGCCAATATCATAATGGAACTATCCAGAAAGCCACTGAAGCATTAGTTTAGTGTAAACGGAGGTATCCACTCAAAATCAATAGGTACTAATAGTTTAGGTGTTCCCTGAGACTTCTGTCTCTACCAGTTCTGGGCATCACCTATAATGGGATTGACAAGAGAGGGACCAACATAATGAAAGATGTGGAACTCTAATTCACAGGAGAAAAGGCAGAATAAATTTGGGATGTACACCCTAGAGAAACATTTTTTAAAAATCACCTAAAGTAGGGATGTAACTACTTGAGGAATATGGTATCTGAAAGTCTGTGGTCCCAGACTTTCAGATACTATATTCTGGGACTTTCTCTCCACCCCAATAATGGCTACAGAGTAAGGAAGTATTTTCCATTTCCACTCTGCTTGCCTTCCCAGAACATAAATGTCTACACATCTTTGCTGTAGTGCTTTTCTGTTAAGTACTAGGAAAACATAGCCAGAATAGAACCAAAAGTAATAATGTTACACAGTTAAGAAATTTTATTGTAAATAGTTTATACAGGCCTGACGACGGTGGTAGTACAGTCATGCACCACATAACATTTTGGTCGATGATGAACCACATACATGACAGTGGTACTGTAAGATTTTCATACTGTATTTTTACTATACCTTTTCCATGTTTAGATGTATTTAGATACACAAATACTTACCATTGTGTTACAATTGCCTGCAGTATTCAGTACAATAACATGCTGCCCAGTTTTGTGGCCTGGGAGCAATAGGCTACCATAGAGCCTAGGTGTGTAGCAGGCTGCTGTACCACCTAGATTTGTGTAAGTGCACTCCACTGTGTTCTCACAAAGATGAACGTGCCTGACAATGCATTTCTCAGACAGTATTCTCATCATTAAGCAACACCTGACTGTAATAACATCTACCATTCAATAATCCTATCACTCATCTTGCTTACTAGGCTTCCGCCGCATTGACCCTCCTCCTGTGCCTCCAATAAACTAAGCTTTTTCCTGTCTCAGGGATTTCTTATTTGTTGTTACCTTTATCGGAAATATTCTTTCCCCACTCTTCATAAGACTGACTACTTCATGTTGTCTAGGCCCACACTCTTAAACTTCAATGTGCGCTCCAGTTACCTGGGAATTTGTTCAAAAGGCAGATTCTTATCCAGAAGGGACTTGAGGGGCCTGAGGTTCTGCATCTTTCACAAGCTTCCAGGTGATGTCAATAATGCCACAGGTTCACAACAACACTGTGAGTAACAGGCTCTAAGTCTGGATTTAAATATCTCTTCCACAGTGAGGCCTTCCTAAATGCCCTTCCACCAATCGACCACCAGAGTTTTCTCTGTCCCTGCTCCTGTTTTGTTTCCTTCCTGACAACTTTTACAGTTTACATGTGTTTATTTTACAAACCATCTCATTCTTTTATTCTGTCAGGTAAATGCCTCACTTCAATTAAGATAGCTTTTGTATGCCACCTCTAAAATTGCATAAAGTTTCTAAAAATTATAAACACTAGATCCTAATTTACTCTTGGTTTGGATTCCTATATAGTTTTGGATTAATCAGTGTTCTTCAGTAAGAGGATGAGAATATCAAACATTAATGATGTTTGTAATGAGTATGCTTCATATCTAGAACTCTTATGCCCCTACTTTTTCACTAAATGCCTTGATTCAGAGTGAAAAGACAAAACAAAAAATGGGGAAATTATGCAAGTAAATATGGACGCTAGGTTAGTCATATACTTAGTTTCTTTTCATTTTAATTTTTAAAAATTGACAATTCTCTTAAAAGCATGAAAAAAATTTATCAAAGATAAATCAGTCTATTTAATTCAAATGTTGATTACTGGTTTAGAGGGATAAAGATTAAGAATTCCATCATAAAACCTCACTTATGTCCGTTTTTAATGCTATTATCTTCCCTTGATTCTTGTTTCAGAGAAAATACAAGCGAAATGTTGGAGGAATAGACTAATTAAAAAAAGGTTAAAAAAAAGCACTAGTAGGTATATGGGAAATAAAAACAATGTCACTCCTCTCACTAAAGATTTTTGTTTTGAAAAATATGGTTATTTTTTATAAAAATGTTACATTAACATGTAATGGGTTTATTATTTAAGAATGAATGAATAAATAATTATTTTTAAAATTCCTGTTTTAATTTATAGTATGGTAGATACCAATAGATATAAACCATATAAGCAAAATTTCTCTGGGGCTATTAGTGATTTTTAAAAGTAGGAAAGGGCCCTAAGACCAAAAAGTTTGAGAATTTTTGCTCTAAAATCATGCCATGGTTTGGATAACAAAATTATGATGACTATTGTCTAACATATGTTCTCACTTCAAGATAGCCATGTGTACACAAATGTTTTGTATTTGCATGTATGGAAATAAAAAATAGACTAAATTTCTAAAGTTTCACTATGCACCTTAAGCAATCTGTGTTAAAACTAAAAAGCAGTAATATTAATACTTTGCTTACTTTAGTGAATTCAGAATTGCTAGTTCAAGGGCTAGAGATGAAATTTGATTACAATCCTGTTAAATGGCACCCCAGGTCATATACAGGAAGTTTTTTATAAATTGTCAAATAACATATTTTTTATGAAATAGTCTACCTTTAACTCTTGGCATTGAAATTCTAGAAATGTTAAGACCAGCTACAGTGACCCCAAATATTCTTATTCTGCTCATGGAATATTTCAATATTTTAGACTTATCTTTAAAACTGCTGGAAGAATTTTT